AAAAGGAATTAGGATTCGCTTCCAGCTTCGCTGCATCTTCACAGTTATCAGGTTAACAACGTAGTTAAACAAGGGCAGAAATGTAGTTAACGTGCATCAACATGGTCTCAGATATCCTCGCTAGCAGTTTGCAAAGCTCATGCACCATGCGTAGCAAGCAGCTAAGGAAGCCACAAAACATGCATTTAGAAACTGCTGCGGGTTTAGCTTCCCTTCGGAACACAGCGGTCAGACTCTTCCTAAAGGACTGCGTTAGGAATTATCTCCATGATGCCTGAGCTACAAAATCAGCTAGGAATTTAAAATATTGTCCCATTTTCGGAAGCATAATGCCTGCATTTTGAATATAACCGTAATAAAATATTAACTGCTCAGGTTTCTTTAACTTTGGGTTAATATGAAAGAAAGAAGATGACTCATTGAAAGAGAAAATTGAATTTAAATTGATCAAAAAAACTTAAGATTAAATAGATCTGTTGATCTAAATCAGAAAATAAATGTTTTTTTGTCTTTACATTACAAGATATCTGCCAAAATGTTTGAGCAGTCTGATCAGAATGAAAGTGAGACTAGATTTTAGTTTTTTACAACTTCTTTTTCATCAACTTCTTTTAATTGTTTTATTTTTTTTTTTCACGTTTTGGCAGATACCGATTAAAAAGCTGAACAAGTTGATTATTGTTCATTGTCTGTCCAATGTGTTCCCTCCACCATGCCTTACCCTAGCACTTCGTTTTCGGGGCCACTTCTGATGACAGGGGCATGCATGTTAAGTGCAAAACAAAATGGCACTGGGGTTAGTAGGCCAAACAAAGAACACTTAAAATATTAAAAACAGACAATAAAAAAAAAGACAAAAGAAAAAAGAAAAAGCAAGCACAACTTCTCTCAAATCTAAGGTTATACATTTCAGGACGGTTGCCTAAATCAATTAGTTCTTATAGGTAAATAATGACCCATGACATGCTGAACAATGTCTGTAGACAATGACTAAGTCAAAGCAGTGATTGAAAATTAAATGAACCTCAATGGCACCAATTCAAAAGCTTTCTGATGTGTTCAGATGCAGCTTTGCAGTATGAGGCTGCGTTCACTCACCACAGGGAAACGCAACCCATCCGATTTTTTCTGAACATAATGAAGGAAGGAAGGAAGGAAGGAAGGAAGGAAGGAAAGAAGGAAGGAAGCAAGGAAGGAAGGACAGACGGAAGGAAGGAAGGCAGGAAGCAAAGAAGGACGGACAGTCGGACGGATGGACGGAAGCAAGGAAGGACGGACAGACGGACGGACGGAAGGAAGCAAGGAAGGACGGACAGACGGACGGACGGAAGGAAGCAAGGAAGGAAGGAAGAACGGACGGAAGCAAGGAAGGAAGGACGGACGGCGGGCGGACGGACGGAAGCAAGGACGGACGGACGGAAGGAAGGAAGGAAGGAAGGAAGAACGGACGGAAGCAAGGAAGGACGGACGCAAGGAAGGAAGGAAAGACGGACAGAAGCAAGGAAGGAAGGATGGACGGACAGACGGATGGACGGAAGGAAAGAAGGAAGAAAGGAAGGAAGGACGGACGGACAGACAGAAAAAAGGAGGCAAGGAAGCAAGGACGGACGGACGGACGGACAGACGGAAGGAAGTAAGGAAGCAAGGAAGGAAGGACGGACGGACAGACGGACGGAAGTAAGGAAGGAAGGAGAGTTGTGCTGTTTTCAGAAGATATTGTGGGGCCCCATGAGGACCCCTTTACTTTCCTTCTTTTCAACTACAAAAAAATCTGAACTGTGCCGCTTTCCTACATGGCTTTAAATTAGATCTTTATCCGATAGTTTTCATCGAGGCTTTGACTCCTCAATCATGCAGACTCCTTTCCAGCACAGCAAATGTCCAAATTCTTTGAACGACGTATGGAAATGACATAAGTAGAGATCTCTGGCCTCCTAAAAGAGTTTTATTCAGCTTAGCATCCTACACTAAAAAAAGAAAAAGCGGGAATTATTATTTTTTTTATCGGTAAAACAAAATTCCTTGTTGGAAAACCAATTATAACGTCTAGTTTCATGTATTCCAATGTAGAACCGGTAGTATTACTATTGATCTTTCTTATTGTGCTAAAAAAAAAAAAAGAAAAACTTTATAAGCTGTTTTTTATTAAAGCAAAAGTAAATAAAACTCCAAAGCAAACTAGAAGGTGTGATTTTATATTAAACTACAGGCTAACAAGGACCATAAACATTCAGAAGGGGGGGTAATGTGATAAAAACTGACCAAGGGCTACAAAAAGCTGCCATTTAACTCTAATTATATTTAGCTACTTACCCTATTTTCCCTTTTATAGAAGAAACAACAGTAGAATGTATGTTTCACAGACTGTTTGGTTAATTCCTATAAAGTTAAATACCTGTAATGACCTACGAGTCGCTACTCGGTTAAAGCTGTATTAACATTATTCTGTCCTGATTTGTAAAACCTTAAAACAGAGACCGGTTGTGCTTTCTTTTCCTCATGCCTGCATATCATGAGTCTAATGTAAACAGACATTTTTTTTACATACAGAACACATGCAGTTAATACACAAAGTGCTTGCCGTACAATTCCTTTCTTGGAGCTTCCGTTTCTGAGAGACAGCGTCATGTCTACCAGCAGGTAGCCCATGTCTTCCTCCAGGGTGTTTGGATCATTCAGCGAGAGAGAGAGCTCATTGACCCTGAGACGAAAGGTTATTTTAAACACTTTAGATTAAGAGATGGACTGTTACAACATTAATAGATAAATGAAGTGATAAATCACACAGCATGTTTTCATCATCATCATCATCATCGTCGTCAGAAAACAAATGACATCACCTCAGAGTTAATTGGTAGAGAAGACGGCCATTTAAAGTTTGAGTTTACTTTCTGATGCAAAAAATCACAAAATTCAATACAATCATACGGAAGAGGATTAGGGCCACTGAAAAAAAAAAAGTTAACTGATTTTTAAATTTTATTTCAGTATAACTCTTTAATTCTGACTTTAATCTCAGAATTCTGACTTTTTTCTTAGAATTCAGACTTTTTTCTCAGAATTCTGACTTTTTTCCCATACTATACTGAAAAAAATGTTTAAAAATCAGTTAACTTTTTCTTTTTTTTTTCCAGTGGCCCTAATCCTCTTCCGTACAATCATTATTGTATGTGATAAAAAAAAAAAAAAAAAACTGCAGAGTGAAAATTCTCAAGTGAAAGGAAATGATCCATGGCTTTTTCATCTCTTTAATAATAATAAACAATAATAATGCACTGGAAAAAGTATAACCTTGCTCAAACTAAAAAAATTATGTCCAGATATCACATCTAAAATATTTGACTTCACAAAACCTGAATTTAATCGCTTAATATGACCTGATTATATTATGTTGATGTAAACAATAATTCTGCACAACTTAAAATCTTTTTCCTCTTCCAAATGATTTTCTGAACATTATAGTTGATGAACCAAACTTATATATTGACATTGGACCAACCTAATATACTTACTTTTAACTAAATTAACAAGAATTAATGTTTGTATAGAAATTTAAATATAAACAAATTCGATTTTTCACATCTCATTTGACTTTACTTCAAAAGTAATTTCCATTTCCCATCTTACAAAATCTATACACCCCAGACAGGTTGCCAATCCATCTCAGCACAGAACAACCATTGACGCACAACCATGCACGCACACCTAAGGATGATTTAGACAACCTACACATGCAAACTTCATTCAGAAAGATCCTCGGTAGGGATTTGAACCCACAACCTTCTTGCGGCAAGGCGGCAGTGCTAGCCGGGGACCTGGACTTCATCACATAAAAATTACCTGCAGGCCATGAATAAATATATACATATTGAGAGAAATCAAAAACTTTATTTTGGGTGATTTCTACGTGTATTTAGTTCAGGTTAAATCAAACTTGATGTCGCAAAATCCAAAAAGAATGAGTTACACAATGAAATCAATAATTTTATCTAGTTTAGAGTGAAAAGCATTAGTTTGAATGAACAGTTACATGTTACACTTTTTTCAGTGTGCGATACTCATTTGTAATTTGCTCCACTGAATTCAGTCTTTATAGAGGCACAAGAAATACCTGTACAGTGAAGCTTCGCTATAATGCAGTTCACTTCTCACGGTCTCGCTGCTTCACGGATTTGCATCATGTACTGTTAAACTTTATTGTCGAACATAATCAATGGTGGGATGTCTGTTTATAAGGATCTTTTGGCCCAGAAGAAAAAAGAGCGACAACAACTACCGATAACTATGTTCTTCTCTCCAAAAAACACACCTGCACCGCAGGCTTTAGAAGAAAACGCCACAGAGCAATCAGGATGCAGCGGCTCCGTCAAACAGCAGTGAAATACTGTACTGTACACGTCAGTCACCATTTGTCCTACTGTACTTTGTATTTTTTTTCATAATCATTTTTCATTTTCTCCCGTTCCAATCAGTCACGGTGGGGCGGTGCTGATCCCCGCAATATTAACTCTTCAGTTCGTATTGATGATTAAAATTATTACTTATTTATTTATAACTATATTATTTTAAAGTACAGTACAGTAGTTATTTGTAAAAAAAAAAACAGACAACAGCAACGTTTATACCGTACTTTTGTTTAACAAATGCTTGGGCCTGTAAAAAGTTTTTGTTCCTTGATTTCAATGTATGGAATATTTCATTGTATAATAACTGTAAAAAAAAATAAAGGTTTCTACTTCTCGGATTTCACCTATCGGGGGTTCTTTTTGGAACGTAACCCCCGCGATAAACGAGGGTTTACTGTATATGGGAAACTGTACCAGCTCTTTAGAGAACGATATTTTACGCACTTTTCATGGTAATATTCCTCATTTTCAGGACTAATCTGCCATTTTTTAAGTCTTGCCGCAGATTCTCAGATAACCAGTGTAACAGAGAAGTGTTAGTTGTCCTGTAATCTAAGTATCCAGCATGTAACCCAGAACGTTACCGTCTGACCCGACGTCCCCCTCAGCCTGCCTACGCTGCATCGCACTATTGGCAAACAAGATTACATGACCTGATTTAATGGACGGAGCATCAGTGTGGCTGCAATGCCTCTTATTTAGGGGTCCCAGAGTAAAGGAGGCAAAAATCATTAGACTTTTTTTTTCTGTAAAAATCTGAACACCAGCAATTCTTTTTCTTGCACTTTAGAACAAAGCAATGCTTTGTGTTGCTCACATTAAATCTAAATAAAACTACATTGCAGCACTTGTTCAATTAAGCCTCAGGTAGAAATAAAAGCATTTGATTTGTATTTATCTTTAACATAAAATATTCTATCTAAATGTATTTGTGATTAAACATTTTGAGGTTCCATATAGACTAAGACAGAGGTTCCCAAACATTTCAGCTGCTGACCCACACGCAGTATGGGTCAGCACCTGTCTAAACATTTTACAGACAGATGTTTTTGCATCTTTAAGCATTTTTACATTAATGTTTGTCGCTTATTTTAATTTCTGAAGTGATCTCAACAACACCTGCTGGTTGATCAAGGACCAAAGTGGGCCGGGGCACCCTGTGGGGGGGAGGTTAGGATGATTCTAAGGGGCCTTGACTGAGGGGGGGCCCCAGTCTTATTATATTTTGTAAATATATTAAGAAACTCCATCAGTAAAATAAATTATCTTTGTGTTTTCCCTCATTTTTCAGCAGTAAACAGCGAAACAAAGCATGAATATATTGACACAACCCAAAACATATTTTCTATTTATGTGTACATAGATGTTTTTTGTTTTATATAAACTTTTATGATTTTGATCGGAGAATTTTTAATGTGAAGTTTAAAGTTATAATATATTTAAGTCTTTGGCATTCTGATAATGTTCCTTTGTAGAAGTTTTAAAATACAAATAAAAAGAAAAAGTTAAATGATACCTCTTCAATGCACCTTTATAGCAGTTTTAAAAGCTTGCATAATAATAATAATAATAATTTTTTTTTTATATCAATGTCTTTCACAGGGCCCCAAATTCCTAGTAGTGCCCCTGCAAGGCCCCAACTTTGAGAATCTGAGAGATAAGAGGAAATAATAAATACCAGAGAGGTTGGAGGAATTTTAAGTATCTTCAGAGACACCCACAAGGGGGCGCCATCTATCAAGATTTTAGCCACAGAGGAATCAGAGTGATGAAGGTGTTTTCCCTATTTTACTATTAAGAACTGAAATGAATGAATGATCAGTATATATAAGAGCACATCAAGATTTTACAGTTAGAACTTCAAAGACTTACTTGTCGATCTCTAAATCACTAAGGAGAACAGAGGCAGAGCCCATAAAGTCGTCGGTAGTCAGATCACTGTCGTACACCTGCGTCAAATCAGAAAGCAAAGTGTTAATTCCCACACAGCTGAAACTGTGACTAGATCTATCACCCCCACCCACCCAAATCCCCCCCACCCCCATCACTGCAAAGCTACAGAGAAATGCAAGCCTTTGCAGGGAAGTACCAACTGACCCTGTGACTGAGTTATGATAGAGTCGTTACCTTGATGTACATCTTCTGATTCAGATCCTTCAGCGGCACAGAGAAGCTCTCATTCCATGTAGGGTTGAGGTTTTTATGAACAACTTTGCTTTTATAGATGCTCTTTCCGTCAAACTTAAACTTCACATAAGGGTCGCTGGTACCTAAAGAAATAGACAAAGAAATTGTTTATTTTTCATCCGTTTGAAAGTGAAGGAAAAGTTTTAGCACAATGTGAAAAATAAACATTCCTAGGACAGTTAATTGCTAAATTAAGTTTAGTTCTACACCTCTGCTAACTTACGAGGTACACTTCTGAGAAACCTATTTCCAGTAAAAGGGAGACCTGGTCTGCTATCATTGTCATTTCTCAAGTCTGTGGGACGGATGTCGGTTTATTTTCTCCTCCCCACATCGCAAGACCACAACTTCCTGCTTTAAAAGCCAACTAAACTTCAACCCCAGGGAACCTGGAGGCAGCTGAAAACTAATTACTCGTTTGAACTTTGGTTTACACGAAGGAAGCCAACAGGACTGCTGTCAAATTTAGGGATCAACTACTTCCTCAGTGCTTCGTAACACTTTCTTTCTAGAGTTTCCTTCAAACGCACGTTTCCAATCAATCAATCATGATTTGTGGAACTTTATACTGGAAATATGTTGTTTTTTTTTCAAAAGATTTGGCCAAAAATCCTGCCATGATGAGTGGACTCAAAGTTTAACAACAGCTAATATCGGCCAAGTCATTAGCTGCCTATAAAGAGTGATATGAACTTATCTGTTGACGAGTCACTCTTCTGAGAGCAGATGCAAAGGTTCCCAGACAGCAACTTGATTAAATATTATCGCCATCAGCAGCTATTTGTCTTGCAGCTTAAGTCTGCATACAGTTTGAAACATTTACACTGCATTCTTCTTTTAGCTCTCCTTGTGTGTCTTCTAACGTCGTTTTAAACCTGGCTCTGCTGTCAAGGCCTCAGGTGTTGCTTAGAGAACGTCGGCGAGGATCAAGGGACACGGCAAAAGGGTCAGGGAGAAAGTTGTAATGAACTGGGAGCAAGTTTAGACAATATTTCAACCTGCCAACATCTCCTTTAGTTCAATAATCCAGCAGAAAGGATGACACAGCTGCAAAACTATTAAAAAACGGAGGATATTATTTCAGCAGCCAATATGTTTATCAAACTCTGGATGAGCTCCAGATATTAAGAGCTCAGGTAGGAGGTTCTTTTGATAGAACTACTCTACAATTCAAGCGTTTAGGAGAGATCGTAATGTTTTAAGAGAGCCTCCTGATTGAGGTCCAGAACAGACCGTTTAAAGAACAGGGCAATGATGTCACAGAGGGATGGAGCTGGAAGCAAACACTGAAGACACCTTCAGCGTGTGGAAACATGGTGGCGGAAGCAGCATGATGTGGGGATGCTTTTCTCTAGCATGGAGGTAGAGAAAATTAAAAGCAGTCCGTTGGGATGGATCAGGTTTGGAATACGTAATTAATCGTCAACTAATTCAGTAATAGATTAATCATTAACTGGAGTATAGAGAGTGTAAAATATATCTTTAGCTGACAAAGCAACCTAATAGTAATTATATCAAAATTGTAAAAAAGAAATATATAAACATTTCACTTTTAAAATAAAAAGAAAAGTTTTCATGTCGGTGTTCTCTATCCAGGACTCCTCCAGCAGAAAAGTTGAAAGGGCAGATTAGATTTCTGCAACCGCATACATGAAATGCCGCTTGCATCTGGTCGCGAACCAGTTTTTCTGGTATGCTTCTGCAGCGTCTGTCTGGAATTTCTAGGGATGCACAGCAGATTCCCGCCAAAGTTCAAGAGGGAGCCTATTCGAAAACTCACGAGAACTTAGGCGGCCCTGGCGGGAGTGTTTATCTTCCGAAACAATAATGGCGGTTCTGGAAGATATCACTGGCACAGAGATAGATCTAGAGTTACTAGACATCAAAGAGGAACAGGTTCTGTTAATGGAGCGAACCCCCTCGATTAACCTTTCATTGTAGTTGTTCCTCGGTTTTTAAAAATGGCGCGCCCCGACACCGAATTGAGAAGGACGACCACACAGAAAGCTGGAAAAAGGCATAACAAGGACCAATCACAGCTGCTTTTTGTCTGCGTACTTCCGCTTGAGGTCTACGCAGGTTCGCAGCTGTCTGTCGCGTAGTCACGATTTTTTTGCGGTGCGCGACGTCAGAGACAGATTTGACGATTGCACAGGCTGTGCATCAGAAGCATAAATTGGCTTTTAGTTTCACCTGGTTTAATTTCAGAAAATGTCTTCTTTAAGGAATTGTTAGCTATCCGATTATTAATCGATTAATTGAAAGCATTATCGACAGATTAATTGATTTGGAAAATGTTAGTTGCAGCTGTAGATCTGATCACTCTTTGACAAATCCTACTGGAAGGAAACTAAAATGCCACGGGAGAGAGGGATTCTGTCGCGGATTCATGCCTGTTCTGTGTGAGGAATCGCTGAGGAGATTTAATGCGACTGGCTGGACTCTGTTACTACATACATTCAGGAGCAATGAAAGCTGCAAGTCAGACTCCAGTTTATCAGCTGGGTTTCCTGAGATTGAAAACTTTATCAGTTCAGTTCAACATTGCCAATTTTCTAAAGTGAACCTAAAATTACTGTGAATGGAATATAAGAAAGTCTTTGAAGTTATAAAAGAAACATTAGAACACAGACATTATCTTCTTTCCATGTGATGCAATGAATAAGAACCGGAAACATTTTCAGTCTCTGGTTGAGAAGGCAGGAAATGATCACATCATTTGTCTTTATCATTGTTTCTTTTTTAGTGTCATAACAATCTGAATTTATTATGTTAATAATAAAACGTTTTTAAGCCCTAAAAGCTGAAATCATTGCTGGGATGTTTATCTTCAGTCTTGTTTAGAGAAGCAACAGATTATATTCCAAAAAATAAAGTTAAATGTAGTTATTGTGGAGTGTTTGGAGATTCTTAAATATGCAATGTTTAATGACATTATGCAGAAGTAGCTTCTAATATCAGAACATTTTCAGTTTCAATAAAGCCACATGTGTGACAGATTTTTTGCGTGCCTTATGTACGGAAAGCCTTCCTATGCAAAACAAGAGTTTTCCTTTCAATATTCACTGTTAAAACTTTTCTAAAATGCATTTCTATTCCCGTCCCTTTAGCCCAACCTGCCTGATTTTATGCTATTTTATTTTGTATGTGTTTATTGTTTTTTATTGATTTTACTTGTTGTTCTCGTTTTTTCCTCATCCTCTGCAGTGTTCCTCTGATGTTACATGTGCAGTACATTTTTGCACCTTTGGTAGTTTTTTTTTTTAGAACTAGCAGCATTACACAAAAATGAATGCAGGAGTATTTAGTCAAGGAATATTTATTTGTAAAAAATGTAGATAACTCTTTTTTCTTTGTTATTCTCTACACCCCAACTATGCATAATAGGGATGCACGATATTGGAATTTTGGCCGATATCCGATACGCCGATATTTTAAAACTCATGTAGC